CCTTTCGTGGCGGATCGTGCTTCCTGCCTTGTCTGCTTTGCTGTCGTGAATGGTCATGTGCTGTTTATTGTGTGCGAGGGTGTTGTTTTTTGTGAGCGGTTCTGTGACTGTGTGAGGCGCACGAGGTGGCCGTGTTTGATTTTATTCACACTATGAACTACAAAAAATTGCAATGATGCAGTTGTCGCTGACCTCAGCTTATATACTATGAACTTCATATCCAAGTCAGTTTGCTGTTGTTCCCGTCTCTATAGCAGCTCGGTGGAGCTATCCCCCACCTCTCCTTTGGCCTGTTGTCTTGCGCCCGCCCCAGCCCCAGCCCCGCCCACGTCGGCTCGCGTCGCGCCCGCCCGCGACTGCACCCTGCCCGTCCCCTCCCGCGTCGGCTCGCGTCGCGCCCGCCCATGACCGCGCCCCCGCCGTCCCCTCCCGCGTCGGCTCGCGTCGCCCCCGCCCGTGACCGCGCCCCCGCCGTCGGCAGGCACGCTGGTACGGGACGTACACAGCCTACCGCGCTCGCGCTCCATCCCCGACCGGCCGTACAGCACGCTGGGCCGGCCGGCGCGGCGCGAGGCGACCGCCGACCGGCCGTACCGCACGCTGGAGCGCTCGCACGGCGGCGCGCGCGTGCACTGGGCGGCCGAGTACTCGCCCAACTACCCGATGGAGGCGAGCGTGGACCGCACGCTGGAGCAGTTCACGACGTTCAGCGCGCACCCGCACCCAGTGCCGCAGTACCGGCCCGAGGGCATCCTCAAGACGTCCAAGTCGATGGAGACGCAGCTGCGCCGGCCGTCGCGCCACTCCGTGCACGTCAACCCAGCCGGCAGTCCGGTGGGTGGCGCCCGCCGGGGGCTGCCGGGGGCCGAGGCGAGCGAGAGGACGACCGTTGGGTTCACGAGACTTGAGTTGGCGTCAGAATGTGGCTGCGTTCGGGGGGGGGGGGGGGGGACTGCGCCTGTCTGGTGCGTCGTTCGCTCTAGCAAATGCAAACATCAAGGTCGTTGAACGTAACATTAAATGATGCGTCGCCATGCCTCTGGAATGGCGTCCGAGCCATTTGCTACCGTTGTTGCGTGACCCCCGCTTGCCGGTATGTGGCGGTGCTAACACTTACTGACCGCGCTTAACTGACCATGCTCCGGTGTGCCGGTGTGTGGCGGTGCTGACACCGACTGGCCGTGCTCCGGTGTGCCGGTGTGTGGCGGTGCTGACACCGACTGACCGCGCTCCGGTGCGCCGGTGTGTGGCGGTGCTGACAACGACTGACCGTGCTCCGGTGTGCCGGTGTGTGGCGGTGCTGACACCGACTGACCGTGCTCCGGTGCGCCGGTGTGTGGCGGTGCTGACAACGACTGACCGTGCTCCGGTGCGCCGGTTTGTGGCGGTGCTGACACCGACTGACCGCGCTCCGGTGTGCCGGCAGTCTCCGGGCGGTGACTCGTCGCCAGGCCTGGAGGACGTCCAGTGCTGACGGCCCGGCCGCGGCGCGCCGCCGCCCCCCACGGCTGCGGCCAGCCCCCGGCCGGGGCGCCGGCGCACCGACCTCTGCCCGCGCGGCGCCGGCGCGCCGGCCTGCGCCGGGGCTCAGCGGGGGCTGGACTGCAGTGGGGAGGCGCCGGCGGCTGGTCGGCAGCCACTGGCTCCGGCAGCCCGGCGTCACCGCGGCCCCAATCTCGACGTCGGAGTCTCTCGGTGCTCCGGCGACGCTCCGGGCCTCTGCTGAGACGGCCGCGGCGCGGCTAGCTCACGGCTGTCCGGAGGCAGCGCTGCGGCCCGTGGTGACCCCGGGCCGGCGCGGCCGCGAGGGACGTGACCTGTCCCCCGACGGCCAGCTCCCCTGAGGCGGTGCCGGCAGGGCAGATGCCCGCCAGGATCTCGCCGGTGGGAGGTTTGCATGTGGCGCAGAGATGTCGCTGGTGCAGGTGTCAGGCGTTCAACATGGTTTAACAATTGCATGGATATGTTTTGCGGGATGGTTTAAAGGGAGTGTTCCACATTTGTAAGGGATTTTAGACTGAAATAGCCATTTTGAAGAGCATTTCGTGCAGTTCACAGCCTTGCCCTTAAGACCTAAACCTCTTTAGTTTCTGAGCGACACGCCCGCGGAGATGTGCAGACTATTTTGAGGAGACTGTTTCAAGGTCATCCAGACATCCATGACGCTACATAACGTCATTGAAATTTTTCCGTTCCGTTAGTCGTGCGGCGATCAGGGTCAATGCAAATATTGTCGAGGCGCTCATGTCTGGTGTTTGTGAACACGATTTCCAGATATAACGGCCGTCAGTTAGCTCTCAATCAATGCTGTGCAGGGTGCCATGGCGGCCATGACGTAGTGAGGAGCATATTTGCTAAGCAGAGTTGTGCTGTCCTGAGCAGTCTTTTCCGCTTGTAAGTTAAGCAATAATTGTTGATGAGCTTATTTCAAACTATCTGATGCTTGCTTCGATATCTTGAAATGTGGAACATTCCCTTAAACACATCCAGTTACAGGGGGGACATTGCATTTATTTAATCTGTACCTGAGATTACGTTTGACGATTGACTGGTTTTGGTGTTTGGAGGGGGTTTGAGTAGTCTGTGCTTGTAAACATTGCAGACGGCATGACCTGGGTTATTACGATGGTGCATTTAACATGATTGGACGTGATTGCTTGATCTCCTAGTACTTCGTCCAGTGATATATTGCTTATAATCGAACGTCGTTTGGCTACTTAAGCTACAACCGAACGTACGCACACACGTAATGGGAAGTTGAATATTTCAGGTTTGTTCACTGGACATTTATGCATAGATTGGTGTCAAACTTTTCTGTATTTACGGCAACGAAGCTGGCGAAGTATGCCTAACTACTCAACGGGTGGAGGTCTTGCCCGGACCATAAAACCTTTTCTGAAAGTTAAGCGGAGGCTCTGTTGGGCAGGCCGGTATGCCGCGGCGGTGCCATACCTTGATCAGCAGCATGTATTTCGTGGGCGGCACGGTTCGCGAGTGTCGCGAGGCTCACTGTGGCAATGCGCGGTGTAGGGGATGCGTACTATGACGCAACGTCGATCTCGTGTAGTTTGCTCCGACAACGACGCGGGATCGCTGATGTATACAGTATACTCCGCCGTCCACCGGGGGTAGGTTATGCTCCGTGCCAACATGTCCTCATCGTGCCGTGTCGGAATGCGCGCGCATCTCGATGTGGCCCGAACAGAGTCGCGGGGGCAGCCACTCTGTCCCGCCCCAGTACAGGCTCCGCGCGCTAGTTAGCTCCGGGACCGCGACACGAAGGTGAGACGTTCGATACAGGGTTCCGTCATTCCGCGCCCAGCCCGATCTCGACCGGCAAGGTCATTGCTCACTGCTGCGGCCATGTCCGGCGTTTGTGTGTGGTGGAGTCGGCGTCGGCGTCAGCGCCGGGCCGGTCACGCCGCCGCGTCTGTCCGCGGGGTCGCGCCGGACGACAGCGGCCCCGCCGCGCCGTGTTCACACGTTTGCAGCTAGATAGTACGCGCTGGGGCCGTGAGAGGGTGAGTAGCGTAGGGGCGGCTGAGCGACCGTGGCGCCGCCTCCCCTCTTCCCTGCCGGGGCGGCGGCGGGCGTCCGGTCGCTCCGTACAAACGGCCGTCGCGAGCCGCCGATCCCCGCCGGCGGCCGCGGCTCTGTACATAGCTTTACAAGGGCTAGCCGCGGCGGCCCGCTCCTAAACCAAGGTAATAAGACATAGTGTCGCCACGCTCTCGGCGCTGGCCGGCGGCGTCCCCACGTAGTGTGTGCGGTTGCGGCGTCGCTCTGAATGCGTGCGTGCGTGAATTTGCTTCTTGGGGTACTCGGGAGTGTGTTCGCCCTCTCGGCCCCCACTTCCATAGCCACTGACCCGATTTCGTCATGTCATCCCGGGCGCGTAGCCGGCGACCAGGTCCTCATCCCGTTTGTTTTGTATGAGCTTTAATACAATGTGTCCTCGCATAGATGTGTATTTACGGTCGGTTCTCCATGTACGACTATGACGAAAAGATGAACGCGAGCATGCGAGGAGCGTGACATTTATCGGACAAGATCATGGATTACACCCTCCCCGATCCCCCCCAGTCCCCTCCCCTCGGAAACAAACAGGCACAAGAGCACATTTCAGCATATGATCGGCACAAAAAGTTTACACGCAACGCTTGCACATCATTTTGTTTCATTCAAGTTGTATTTGGCCTTCATTTTGTCCAGCTCGTCCCGCTTCTTGTCCGCGTCCATCTTTTTGAAGGCCTTGTTGGGCTGGAACGAGACCAAGTTAGCGTCAGGCCGAGGGTCCACCGCCCAGCCGATATAAGGCGCACACATCACCGGGCGGAGTCGGCGTCCACTTTGCTATGCACCATGCGTTACGGATTTTCACAGGCTAGATACGACAAAGTGCCGCACCAGATCACGAATGTAGACTACTGGGAGGGTCGCCGCGCCCGACTGACCAGACGGGGATGACGGATGACGGGGCGCAGCGTAACGCGCGTCCAAATGCATCTGTACACGTACTGCCACGGGAGAGACAGTACATACGGCAATCAGCCGACAGTGCCCCACACTAGTCAAAAGTGGATGGTGGTAGTGTACTACCCGAATCGGCGCTATAACTTGTGGGGGCCTTGTATGGCAATTGCGGCCGCAAGCCCTTCACGAACAGGCGCGCGCCGACGTGCGCCGCACAAACTGAACTATTTCATCTCCGGATCCGTCTGCTCGAGCAGCTCCGGTATTGTTCCACTGCCAGGTCACCCTCCATCAGATGGCTACACTACTGAGTACACATCAGTGCACTAGAAACCGGGGCACACTTAGACCCACGGACAGCGCGTGTCCTTAAGCGCCACCCCACGCCCTATGCACCTGGTAGTAGAGCACCACCAGGTAGCGGTTGCAGACGTTGAAGCCGGACAGGTGGTCGCACGCGTTCTTGGCGTCGAAGATGTCCTCGTACACGACGAAGGCGGTGCCGCGCGTCTCGGGCGTGTTGCCGCTGAAGCGATTGGGCGTCGGTCAGAGCGGTAGGTGTCGCGGAGTGGCCGGCCAGACCGAACGGGAAAGGTCGGGGTGAGCCTATGGAACCTCGCTGCAAATTCGTGTATAATACACATGGTCACGGGTATTCCGATTTATATTCACTGGCTTGTACTAGGCAACTCCCAGCGGAAGAGAGATCACGGCTGAAGAAATGGGCGTCACTGGCGCATGGGGATCACCACAGTTCAAACTTACACTCTAATTTGACGGATGGCTCCGAACTTGCCAAAGATGTCGTACATCTCCTCGGCGGTAATCTTGTACGGCAGGTTACGCACGTAGAGGACCCGGTTCACCTCAGGTGGCAGCCGCACCTGCCGCCGAATGGAGAGTAGTACATCAGCTGTTAGCGCGCGCCAAGCACGGACAATGTCGGTTCACTTTGTCAGAACACGGATGAATGCGCCGAAGTCTCACTGCACTGTCAAATGCAATTATCATACATTGCCGCACATTATTTGACAAACACCTTCTGCTAGGGCAGTGCACACAAATTTATAAGTGCAAGGAAAGACCTTCCATGTCACCTAGCATTACACTATGCATTATAGCCATTTCTATACACAAAAACTAGACCAGCTAGTCATTATAGTGTAGGTGTACTTCGATGTGTCACAGCTGCATACTCAACCAACTTAGAGATCTACTGACTTCAGATTGATGTGCTGATGTGGATGCTACTACCATGGCAAAGGCTTCTGGGGCTGGAGACTAGAGGCTGGGGGCTGGGGGCTGGGGGACTGGGGGCTGGGGGCTGGAGACTGGAGTATGGAGGCTGGGGACTAGGGACTAGGGTGTGTGTGTGGGCTGTACTGGAAGCTTGGGTTAGCTGGCCTGGATGCTGGGGGCTGAGTGCTGGGGGCTAAGCTGTGTCTTACTTTAAAATGCTCTATTCAAATGGAAAGCTTTCAGCTTGTTGTGCTGTGAGTGACTGCACACAGTCACTGGTCATTGCACACAGCCTATAAACTGGTCACTGCACACAGCCTGTGACCTGGTCACTGCACACTGCCTGTGACATGGTCACTGCACACAGCCTGTGCCCTAGTCATTGCATGCTGCTCTACCAGTCAGCAAAACATGGCAGATTGAATAAAATCTTCTTGAGAATGGCTGGATATGTACTTAGTATTAGGCACAAGCTTTGCAAATTTTAAGGTGTGAATTTCCCAGTTAGGGTAGGTAGCTCACATTATTTTGAGGCAGTCCATGGCACTTTTGGCAAGGTTGAGGAGGTATCAAGCTCAACTGGAAAACACACTGGTGTGTCAAAAAAGTACTAAAACATCATGAAGCAACTGAAGCCTGCCCTAAGGCTGAATGAACCCCATTTGTCTTAACAGCATCACAGTTATCTTTTTCACTGCCATCTTATCCTGCCCAGCCTTAGATGTGGCTAATCACACAACACCTTGTAGCCAGAGCTCCCACCACTAAATTGAAGAACTCTGACAAAAGATATTGCACAAGCATGAAACATTTTATTCCTACCAGCCTCTAATGCTCATGCTGAGCATGACAATACTAAAACCCATGAGGTGTTACCACTCATATTGCAAAATGCTTGCTGATCAAGTTTTAAATACTGTGAACCTGGTAAAAGGGTCAAAATGTTGGATAACTGCAGAGCACTTCTAACCCCTTTTGAGCAGAGCAGAACAGGTACTTAGTAGTTAGTATCTGTGCACACCTCCAGGAAACCTTAGAACCCATCCTCACACTCATCACATCCTCTGTCCCAACACCAAGCAGAAGTGTTGGCTACCCAATTACTGGCACAGCCCCCCTATAAGGTCTGACCCTGCCCAAAATATACTGTCAGCTAGTTTATCATGTTTCACAGAATGATTTTTGGGAATTACCTAGCATTAGAAGTACCTATTAGGAAAAAATGAGAATTTTTCCCAGTATACCAAAGTTACCATTGCATGGGGTGTGAATAACAGTGTGTTCATTGTAGTCCAAATTTGGGTCAGGGTATACATTGCTACCTCACATTAAGAAAGAGTATTGTACATCAATCATCATTTTTAAGGCAGGACATATCACAATTAATCTAAAACAGGCCATCTAATCTCTTACCTTGCAACTTAAATAACTACGATAGAGAACATCCGAGCGCAAACACGCAGCAACCACGACACTGGCGCCATTTCTACATGTGATCCCAGTGATCCCAATATTACTGCGTGATCACAACATTACTGTACATTAAGAACCATAAAAATGTACAAGGCCAAGACAACAAGAATTCAATAAAATGTGTTCCTTGCGTATCCAAGCAGTCTCCAGTATTGTTTGTGGATTGGTTAACATGGTGGAGAAATATGATGTTTTTGCATGGGAATAAAAAGCAAAATGAGAACATGGTGGCTGAACAAAACTTCTTAACACAGTACATATATATGGCATGGAACATGGATGTCAATGGGGCACTGGGTTGAAAGGGATAGGGTGGGGGTTAGGTTAGGTTGCTAGGTTACATTAGGCCAGGTTATGTTATGTTAGGTTAGGTTAGGTTAGGTTAGGCCATGCTAGGCTAGTTTAGTTTAGGCTATGTTCTGGACTATCCTGGCTTGTCCGTTTCATAAACAGTACCTAGACACAATAAGGAACGCTTTTCATTGCATTATTATTGTTACCTTGGTCCTGTACATTTTTTATGGTTCTTGATAAGCAGAAATATTGTAACCACACAACAGCAACACAGAAATGGTGCTGGGGAGTCGAGGCGGTGGGGGTGCATGGGGCGCTCAGGAGCTCCTATTGTAAACATTAAAATTTGAAGGTAGGAGCATGAATCTACCTGTCTTAAGATTATTGACGATATGTTCCGCCTTACACACAATGACTGATGCACAATGTTGTTTTCTTATGTTAGGTACCAATGTATACCTGCACTCAAATTTGGGACAAAGACAAGATAAAAGGAAACATGCAAATCTGTGATCATTAATCCATATTGCCACCTATGTAGACAGAAATATTACGGAGCAGGAGACAAAACTCAGATCAGACAGGGCTATAGCAATGCAAAACAAGCAACAATGGCTGGTTGTGCACTACATTTTGAGTATTGTAGCACACCTCCAGACGAAATAAGCAGCAGAAGATTCAACTTGGAATGAGGTAAAACACCTCATACACATGCTGCATCCTAACTTCCACAAGTTGCCAATAATACAAAACATAAGTTTACACACAACCAGAGCGTGATGGACATCCAAATATCAGCATGAGTCAAGCGCCACCAACACGCTAACAAAACACCGTAACTTACGTTCGTTTTTCTCTGTAGTGCCATCGCCATGGTCAACTTACAAGTACAATTTACGGGGAATAATACACGCCTCACAACTGACCGTGACTCCCTTTTTTGCACACACGCAACGTTCTCCTACCACGGCTTTTAAATGCGTCATATTTGCCAAAGATGCTTATACGTTAACAATACGCTACGCACTTCAACCGTGAGGCTCGACGTCACTAAAATACAAAAAGATGAATATGTCACAAGAACACAAAAGTGGCACTAACACTCGCCACAGCCAGGAACGCAGCTAAGGCCTTCGTAAGGGATGGGGGAGGGGGCGCAGGTAAGCAAAGTTCAGATCACCCGTTGAAAGTACAGAGCCAACGACGGCAGGCCTGCACACATAAAGAGTGATGATCCCAGTGGAGTGATGAGTGACGATACCGCGGGCCGGGTAAAATACTTTTCATCAAACTGAGATTTTGTGACATGGTGCAATCGATAGGACTGGTATCGGGCTATTACTGGCCAGTATGAAACATTCCATTTTGGTTGTATTTTTTCGGTCGATCCCCGATAGCGTTTCATTCCAAGCTGGCGGGCCTGCTGGAGGGGTCATTTGGAAATATACATCCTCCAAGTTGACGACCTTTTACTTGTACGCACAACGCACAAACTTTCCATAACGATGCTATTGTGAGATCAGTATCGGTCAGCCATTTAAATCTCACATTGACAGACACGCCCTTTTCTGTTCGAAACACCCCTTTACTGCACAATGCTGACGCCACCCTGCCCGCACATAGAGCGATTGCCCTAATATAATAAGGCGGCCCGAGAAAATGGTTCCAATATTGCTGGAAGACTTGACTTGGTGCATTCGATAGCACTGTTATTGAAATATCAGCTGACTGCAAACCCACTTGTCCAATTTTTGTTTCAATTTGATCGGTAGATCTCCCGGCAGAATATCCCTTAATGCTGGCGCACCAGGTGGAGGGGTCGTTTGCGAAGGTCCGACCCCCACTTAAAAACGACGAAGTTTTTGTGTGGGAAAGGGACATCCTTCTCATGAAGATGTTATTGTGGGAGCACTATTGGCCGACAATGGAAATATTGCATCAACACACATTACCTTTGCAGTTCAAATCGCCTAGACGCTCCGGCCAGCCGAACACATTTGTTAATACGCCGTCAGTCGGGCCATTACAATATAGAAGGCTAGATACTTTCGGGCCAGCACGACGTTACGAAGCCAATCCATAGCCCTTTTACAGCACTATAAAATGCGTACTGCTGCACCTTCTGTGGGTTTATACATGTATATATATATATATATATATATATATATATATATATATATATATATACATGTACATATAAAATATTGATTGAAACGCCGGTGCATTTTCGGCTAAATGCTACGGATGCTGGTCCGTTCTGGGCAGTTTGTGGTAAGGGCACGGGTGTCGATTTGCATTCCTTTGTGAGGGTCCTGCCCCCCCCCCCCCCCAATGTTGAGTTGGGCGCTCCCAATGTTTGTTTGGCCCCCCTAATGTTTTTGGCTGGTATGCTACACACAGGGAGTAAAAGATGATCATAACACGAAGGTTATCTTCCTTGATCTGTCTGCGTAGTGGCGTGTCGCGCCACTCTTACAACGAAAAGTCATGGTTGCTCTCACCACAAGATGCAAATCGTAACACCTGAGCGAAAAAAGCGATGCACTAAACTGCACATACCTAGCGCCATAAGACACAATGGTTTGCAAGGTTGGAGTGAGCAGTTCTGGACTATTAGAATGACCAAGTCCTCCATGGCTAACCCCGTCCCCGTCCCCCAGAACCAAAATGCGTGCCACCTGCCACGACCGCCTCAGGAGAGCGCCATCGGCACCCTGAGGTAGCCTCTAAAGGGGCGCGTTCACGCGCCGATCAGAAGAGACGCGTGCGTCCAGTGCCTGCCCCCTGGATCCAACCCTGCATTACTTTTATACTGCTTAAATCAAAGACTTTTATAAATTATACAAAGCGTAACTTGTATAAGTAATTCGTTGCATTTCATCAAAACAAAGTGGGCTAAATCCTGTGAGAAAATGTGGCGGGTAAGTTGTCGAGCCTTTGGTTGCCCCCCCCCCAATAATTTACAAAAAAATTGATGCCACACTGGGTAAAGGTGTCACACCAATACTAATACATGCCATCGCCCGAGCCCGATGTCACGGTATCGGGCAATAATTATCACAGGGGAATCAATGCACACGATCGCACACTCCGAACGCGATTATAACCCTGTTGTAAACACCGGCGTGTTTTTACCTTTACTCTGCGGCGTGGCACCCTGATAAAGTGATTCAGTAGTAACACACCGGCAGGTGGTGACTCATGCGCCGGCCCCGAGCACTATGTTCCGGCGCCTTTCTATAGTGTGTCAACAAGGGCAGTGTTATCAGTATTACTTAAAGACAGTGTTATAATGCACACAGGTCTTGACCTTCCCGCGCGACTACATTTGTCTTGCTTAAACCATGCTGCATTTTCTTCTGGACACGTTTCGATGGGCAGTCCTCATTCACTTTTACAGGGTCTTACGTATAAATGGGTTAATTGAACCCGGCACCATGTTTCGATGCTAGCAGGTCATCTACGAGTGCTGTTACATTCGCGTGGTCCCATCTTCTCGCTGTGGAGAAGGGGGAGGGGGTATTCGGGCTTTAGGGCACATCGACTGCACGGTCATGCGGCTATCCTACTCGAAAGGCTATAAACAATACATAAATAAGATGCCGCCGTATTTTCGCCTTTATGCTTAGAGCCGCGGCACTCATCCCATAGTACGATCTCAGCTGGTAATGTGAGTAAAATAGGTGTCTTTGGCAGAGCACAATGCTATCACGGTACCAGTCCATAGCTTTCCGACCGCGCTATGAAACGCATGCTGTCGCAACCTCCGCGCATGACTGAGCATTTAAACGCTGGCGTAGCTTCTTTTGTGCATGTGTCGGCCAGCAGCCCGCATTCAGCAGCCAACTCTCCAGGCACTCATCATGCTAATAAAATGTGGCTTTTGGCAGGACAGATGTTACTATGCCAGTTTAAAGCCTTCCGACAGTGTTCTGGAATTCACACAGTTGCACCCACCGTGCATGATTTTTTTCAAGACAAAGTTGACTTTCATCTGGAAACGCCCCGGCCGGCCAGTTGCATTAAAGAAAACGCACCACATTTGGGGGTGTGGACTGAAATAGCCAACTTGAAGATCATTCGGTGAGGTCCACAGCCCTGCCCTTCTTAAGACCTAAACCCGTCTAATTTCTGAACTTTACACCCGCGAAGACGTGCAGACTGTTTCGAGCAGACTATTATGGTTACCCAGGCATCCATGACACCGTGATAAGGTCACTCAAATCTTGCCGTTCCATTGGCCATGCAGCGATCCAGGCAGATAGTAATATAATTGTCGGGTCTTTCATAGCTGCCATTCGTGAGCACGATTTCCAGATATAACGACCGTTAATTGGCTCTCAATCAATGTTGTGCAAGGCACGATGACGTTATCAATGACGTGCTGAACAACATGCTGACTAAGCAGAGAAATTTGGTTGCGTAGAACAGTCTCTTCCACTCAAAAATGAGCCCGTAGTTATAAGTGGGCTTATTTCATTATATCTGATGCTTGCTTTAATGCCTTCAGATGTGGGACATTCCATTTAAAGGGAAAGTTCCACACCTAAAAACATTGAGGCAAGCATAAGGTATAATTACAAACTAATTCATTGCAACAAAATACCAAAATGCTTTAGCCAAACTGCAACCCACTTGAGCGTGACGTTACGCTGCTCAAGAACCTCCCCCTTCGCCTTGCTACGCTTCGGTTACGCTTCATCCAAAACCCTCCCCTCGACGCGTAACGCACTATGTAGACTGCCCCGCCTGCGTCTCAATGTGCGATTCTAAGCTGAATGGCTCCGCCCGTGTCTTTAGAAGCTTACTGACGTGCATATGAACACACGGCGAATCTAGACAGTCTTTATACTTGCATCCGATTACACGCAGCTTTCACGCACACACACCGCACGTAGTTAGAAGGCTAACCCGACTAGTTTTGTAAGCTGCGCTCAGTGCTGTCCAGCGTCGTGGCGTACATAGTCTGCATATAAATACGAGCTTCTGTGTAACAATGTACAAAAATACGAAATCGCCATAGAATCGCGCCGCGCCCGCCAAATTCGGTCCATCAGGAACTGATAATGAGTAAAGCATCACTGACGGAAATAAAAACCGATGCTACGACAACAATACATCAAACTATAACCAAATATCACTCACGAACAAAACTGGTAACGCGACAGCGAACCGGATCGCGGGGGCAAGACCAGACCTCGCACACATTCAGGCACCAGCCGGCCGACCACGGGCTGGGCCGAGGCACCAGCCGGCAGTGTGCCCGGCAGTGTCTGGCGGCTTCTCACCGCTCCTCAGCAGCCGGCTGAAGGGCGAGAGAAGCCGCCGCCTGCTTGCCGCCGGGCGCGGGACGGGTGACGTCACTCGGAGCCGACGGGTGACGTCAGAGTGGGCTCAGAGTGCCGTCTCCACCCTGCCGGCGGAGGCGGGCCGGTCGGGCGGGCCGCCGCCGTCAGCGGGGCCGCCGCAGCCGGCCGTCAGCGAGAAAGAGCGCCTGAACGGCTGCCGATCGGCCGGCCGGGCGTAGTTGATAGTCGACGCCAGCGGCCCGCGCGGCAGGCTGCCATACTGAAATCTGCCGCCACCGCCGCCAGGCGGCCGCGGCGTCGGCCGCTGCAGGCTGCCGGCTGCCGGCAGGCTGTGCGAACGCCGCGCGCGCGCCTCGTCCACGGGCTTGAAGTGGCTGGCGGCGCGCGGCTGCGGCTTTGTACTGGCCGTCGGCCGGTCCGAGTACGGCGGCGGCGGCGACGAGGGGCTCATGCGCAGCGGCCGGTCCGGCGAAGAGCCGGACGAGTCGCCCGACGACCCGGCCGACGAGCTGTCCGAGGCGGCGGCGAACAGCTGGCGGCGCGCCGGCGGCAGCGGCTCCTCCTCCGTCTCCGGGATAGTGGTGGCGATCACGTTGGTGCGCGGCGTGCGGCAGCGGCGACTGCCGAATCGATTCTGAAACAGCACGGCGCGCGCCGAGTTGCGCGCGTCTAGC